CCCCCCCCCCCCCCCAAAAAAAACTGTCCAACATGGTTCTGACAAACCTGGGGAGAGTATTTCCCAGATATAAGATATAATGCTAAAATCCGCCACAGGAGGGATTGCCACCTTATTCCTTTATCAGATCTACTAACAACTACATGGAAGGTTGAAGTTCAGTGAATGATGGCAATCTGATGATGGAAAACGTCCATTTACCATATCTGACTATTGACTGATGTGAAAACAACAGGTGATGCTGCCAAGTCTAAGAAACTTCCATTGCACAGCTATATTAAAAATGTTCAATCTCTTCTCTAAATATATGATCCTGGTTTTAACTTGACACTAACCTGGCACTATTCTGCTTGTAATAATGTGCTTATTTCCCTGAGAAACTCTATCTATTTAGTTTACAAGGACTAAATTTTAATCTCTTTTACATTGGTGAATTGAGTTGGCAAGCCAGGCCCCTCACACCTGAGCCAAAAAACCAAAAATGTTTTTCTCCATTTGGTAGACCAAAGCTTGCTCAGGAGCACCAGTTCAAATAATTAACATATTTGTACTGAGTGTGGTTGGTGATACAAAGGGCTGAGTACAAAAAGACTTACAGTCTGAGAGCTATGGCTGCAACAGGAACAGATTATAGTTGCAAAAGGCTAGGTTAAGCAAGGACTTTTTTGTTTTGGTTGTATGGAGTATGCTTCCAATCTGTTATTGAACTGGATTAAGAGTCATTCATTGTTTAGTTGTGTTTGTTATTTCTTACAGAATGCTCGACACCATCCTCCTCCTAGCAATTCCTTTGGGAAGAGTCAGTGTTGTTAGACTGGTACAAAAGGTAAAAAAAGACTTGTATAAAAGTTGTACAAAGAAGAAATGCAGATGTACCCTTAGAAATGCCAACCCATCTTTCATTTACTGATGCTGCTTCTCAACACATCAATTTCTTCCCACACCAATTATTAACCCCAACCACAAATATGTTTATGTTTAAGACAGTGTTTGTAGAAATTTCCTTCAAGTAATAACAATAACATAATAGGACATTTAAGATGTAAGTAGTAGCTATTCAGCCTTAACTTGAACCCTTGGATCATCAGCATTCATATGATTTCACTGACGTTCTCTTTCTGGTTTGGTTCTTGTTTTTCAAAGTCTTCAATCAAACAGTAAAGTTTTGACTGAGGTGCATCACTTCAAGTAGAATTGAAGGCTTATGAATGCGTCTGCATAGGTAAGGTGGAGAACTATATGGATAACAGCAGTTACTTTACTATTACTTGTTTTTCATCATTGATATCCTCAATAAAGAATGAGACTTGTTTCTAACATTTTTAACCCCAGCAACAAATATCATAGGAACATTTCAAAACAAGGGAGATTTTTAGGACAAAGATGACACCAGAAATTAGTAGAAAGCCCATATTTAGGCTATCATGACAAGATGAAAAGGATCTGTGACGGGCAGTGAAGCAGTGTCACATGTGGAACATAGATTGAAGCTTATTTCGAAGGAAAGTGCATTGCAAAAAAGGTAAAAAGGTGTGTGAAGCATTTTGTCTCATTCTGGTTTTGTTTACAAACTGGGTTGCGTTCTCTACATTTGGACTGAGCCTGGGCTGAATCCTCTGATCCTTCTTCAGATTAGAACACATCAAAGGGATTAGGATGGCCACACGTAATGGTATGTGGGAATGACCTTGGGAGACAAGAGGAAGAGCCACAGACTGGACAACTGGCATGTAAGAGAGAATTCAGCCCACAGAAGGAAGAAGGGCATGGG